AAGATATTGTGTTCATCTAGTGTGAGGGTTGTTTTTATGCCTTTTAAATAATTTGTGTTTGAATCCTAACAATATAAGATTTTAAGTTATTATTAGAGTGTTTTTTAATATAACTTTTTCTTTTTTAATCAAAATCTCACATCAATTTAATATATTTAAAAAAATTTAATTTTTTAATATTAATTCTTAAATTTAATATATAAAACTACAATTACTTAAAAAGTCTAATTGATAACGCAAATCTTAAGGCTAATCTTTTGTTCACCTATCTTAAAAATCAAAATCTCACATCAATTTAATATATTTAAAAAAAATTAATTTTTTAATATTAATTCTTAAATTTAATATATAAAACTACAATTACTTAAAAAGTCTAATTGATAACGAATTTAAATGTTGTGGAGTACAATATTGTTCCCTTCAACATGGTTAGGTTGAGTCAATTATTGTGATAACACATGAAAAGTATTTTTTTAAAAAATTATTGCGTTAAATTCTAACCTTACCGGTTAACCCGGAGTTGGTCGGGTTCACATACCCAACGCCGACTAAGGAATAAACTGGAAACGAGAAAAATAAGACATAAACGTAAAAGATCTTTAATTTCTTATAATTTCTTTATTTTGAAATTTAAGGGAAGCACTACTTCCTATATGCATAATTTATAGCTGTTTCCCATACTAAATGTATATAAGATCAGAACTTAGAATTTCATATCTTTTTTTGAGATTTGGCTTGGCAAATTGGTAACTTCATGATGGGGATGTATTTTTTCAAAAAATGGTTGGCACGCTCGAATAGATTTATTAATATTTATCAGTTTAATTATTAAATTATATAAATAATTTTTTTAATTTTAAATTTAAATTTAAAAATAATAATTTTTTGATAAATTTATAATAAAATGTGCTAAATAAAAAAAATGATTTTTGTACAACTTTTTGTTTCACCTTTTTGTACAATATGACTGTCATTAAAATAATTAATTCTTGTAATTCATATGAAACTTGTGATATTAAATGTATATACTCATTTAATGATATATAAAAATCATATAAAAATGTAATACAAAAAAATTGTTTCTATAGCATCACCTTTTAAAATATATATAAATTATTATCCATTCTTTCTGTAATATCATTGCCATTGCTAAAGCAGTATTGATGACATTGATTGCCTCATATAGGGCAAAAAAAAGATGATATGGTCCATTACGTGTAGACCTAGCAAACAGGTCGGATTGGGTGAGTTTGGATTGGATCATCTCGGATCTCAGATTGTTTGGATTTGGTCATTTTGAGTGTTGAATTAAGAAGGTTGATCCATAACCCACCCACATGGGTCTTGAATTGAGTCGGGTAAACCTAATTTTTTAAAAATTAAAATTAAAATTTTTCTATATTTTTCTCTATTTTTCTTTAACAAAATCTAATACTAATTAACTATTTAGTTAAAAAACTTTATTACTAATTAATATTTAGTTAGAAAACTTATTAAACATTAATTTTCATTTCATAATTCAATTTTTTTTCAATCTCAAGAAAAAAATGGGAAAAAATTAATAATTATATAGGTGAAACTAAAATATATGTCAAATATATAATATTTATATAGTATTTAGAATTCATAATTTTATAAAGGTATTAACCTTCATTAAAAGAAGAGACATGAAGAATTAGAGTTCAAAAGACATCCAATATATATTAATATCTAGTGCATATTTAATATTTATAACAGTATTATACAAAAAATACAGCTCTGTTTAATATTTAGAAAGGTATTATAAAAAAAATAACCTTATTTAAATTAAAGTTTAAAAGGTAAATAAAAAATATGTCTAATCAAATCCAAGAAGAAATTAGATGGGAATTGATTTTTATTAATTGAGAACAAATTATTAATTAAAAACAAATTAGTAACTAAGAACAAACTTTAATGCTCTTATCTTTGTACTTCTAATGGTTATGAAGGTATTTTAATCACTAGATTTTGATTTTTAATAGGCATTCTTGTTTTTTATTTTTAAAAAATAATTTTTTTCACGATGTTGTATAACATAACTCATTATATATCACATAATCTAATTTTTTTACGCAAGTGTCACCCAAGAAAAAGATTAGAGAGCTTGAGAGAGAGTGAGAGTGGAGAAAAGGAAAAATTGAGAGAAAGTAAAATGGATAAGAGATTAAAATTTGAGTATTTTATTTATTTTTATTTTTAATATTAAAAAATTTAAATTTTAAAATTAATTTTTAAGTAATTTAATAAAAAATAAATAAATAAATTCAAATCATTTCGAGTAACATGACCTACTCATAACTCAATTCATTTAGATTCAAATAATTTTAATTTAAATTATTTTAAATTTTAAATTAACATATAAGATCCACAATTCTACCCACGACTCTATCCACAACTAATGGATTGAGTCATATTTTGGACTGGGTGCAATTTTGCGAGGTCTAATTACGTGTTGGGAATGTAATT